AAAATTAGAAACTACAACAGAGATTATTCTAAAACATTATGTCCATATAACAGTGCAGTATACCTGAAAGGCAAAAACTTAAACAAGTGTGCTTAAAAACAAAGTAGACAATTGAACTAAATATACTTTAAAAATGATCAGCAACATAATATATTCCTGACTTAAATAAATCTGTGTTATTTTATTTAGTTTAAACAAAATATGTATCCATATGAAAATGCCAGTTCTTTCATTTTTGGTTAATTCTTTTACACATATTATTTACTGTTCAGAACTGCTATATATACAAAAATTTCAAAAATAAATATTCCAAGATCACCTAACAATCACTCTAAGTACATTCAGGTGTAAGAAGGCAAAAAAGAAGGGTCTATCTTATATTTTAAAACTTTGACAGATCTTTAAATGTATTATTTTATATTTTATTAATTTTCTTAAAAAATGAAATAATACAGCCATAATTTAGGTGATGTAAAAACAACTGCTTGGATCATCTTAGGTATCAAGTAAAACTATCCTCTTTATTTCACTATCATAGTAACCATAGTTGACAGATCAACTGGCAATATAATCATTTGTTCAGTGGTCATTAAGCTATCTATAGCATAAACAAGACAACTATATTTTATTTTTTTCACTTAAAAATCACAAAAATACAGCCTAAAATATAATTTACATTTTAAAAATAATTCTAAAGATTAACCCCTAAATCTAATCCCTTAAAAAATTATTGTAAAAGTTAGCTGGATATGGCTGTTGCCAAAGAATGTCTTATTAGCAACAAATTCTTACGTATAACGTTTATTCCAACAATCTTATTTTAAATGTTCTTTTCAATTTAATACTGGATGAGAAAAACATATTTGTTCAAATAATATAAGTAGTAAGTAAAATGATTTCAAAATATAAAAAAAAATAATTATTCATTCTAGGAAATAACTAACATACTAGTTTAAAATATTCGGGAGAAGAACTTTTACATAAAAAGCTTCAAATTTTGTCAATTTTAGCAAACACCCGAAAAGACTCTGCTCTTTCGTCTGCAATGTAGGGAATTACTCCATTTGAGTCATATTTGATTGGTACAATCTTGTTTTTGTCACTACAAGGAAGGGTCCTTATATTAGTAAATGCACGCACTGCAACTACTGAGGCCTTCTTCCTGTCAGAATGACAATGCAATCTTAATGTATGGGTGTCTGTTTAGCTGAATCTAACCAAACACATCGCTTACTACAGACGTTTTTAGGACCAACCCAGTTCATGAAAGATTTTACTGTGATACACAATTTTACCCAATTTTTTTTCAAAAATGTGTTTTTATGGTAAATATCTTGATGAACTAATCTTGATGAACTAAGCAAACAAATACTGAATGTAGATTACTGTTTTTACAGCTTTACAGGGAAAACTCCTAGTAGCAACTCCTCTTCCCTTTCACCAGGGATCTTTAATTTAGGTGTAATTTTTGTTTGTTCTCTGCAAGAGAGTGAAGAAGAAAATCAAGAAAGAGTATATCTATCTAGATAAGATGCAGAGGGAGGTAGATGGTATCTCTAACATAAAAGAAGCTCTGGTGACACTGTTGCCAGACAGCTGTTGTGGATTTTAGTATTATTTAATTAAAAGTAAAAGCCATTCACAAAATAAGAAACTTTTGAGATAGATCTTATTCTAATAATTTCATTAACACATCTTCAGGTTCTTAGATCAAGACATACTGTAGAGGTATCCTCCTCAAGATTATGCAATGGCAATAATTTCTTGCATATGTTTTAATAATTTAACAAACTTGTACTGTGTGTTCTGTGCTCTGGCATTCTACTTTAGAAAACGAATGCTGCTTCTAACATAAAAAAGAACATAAACTAAAAAAGGAATTAATGAGATATTAACAACTTTTCTATTAATACAATATTGGTATGTTTTAAATGATTTTGATATTGCTATAACAACATATATTGTGCAAAATAATTAATCTCAGTAAATATGATTTCTTATTTGCCAAGAATTACCTGCTGTGACAATCAGGAAATAGTTTTCAAATTAAGTTTGCAAACATGAGTTTGCAAAGCATGATTGGAAAAAATATATTCATTTGGGATATAAACTATTTATCAAGTAGGGTTGTTACGTGTATTTCTAGGAAAATATTTTATTCACTCTATAAAGGTCATTGTTATGACCTTACAGCTTCTGTAGTGCAATGGAAAAAAAAAAGTGTTAGAAGTCAAAAGACCTGAATTCTATCCCCAATCCTGCATTTACTCAAGAGTATTAGTATAAGTTTAGGTCAAATCCTTAATCTGGTCTAGTTTTTATGGTAAAAATGTGGCTACCTAACAAAACTGCGGGTTGAGAGGATAAAATGAATTAATTAAATACATCATCTGAGACAAAAATATATCAAAACAAGTCAAAATACAATTAGATTTAATGCTTAGAAATATTTTAATTCATATGTGCTATTTCACTAAATGTAGAAATATTAATACTTTAGTTAGATATAGAAAGTTGATGGTAGAAAAATAAAATCCATTGAACCATTGAACAGCTTGTCAGAAATGTGTACTGTTGAGAGTCTGAGGATGAAAAAAAAAGTCTAACGAGCAAGCTATATAAACTGAGTCTAACTCAAAAAACTTATTTTAGATGTATATGAAAATTAAAAAAATACCCAGAAGGTCTTAGTCAAAAGACTGTTTTAAAATTTCATCCTAAATTTATGTGAGATAAAAATGCCATTTTGTTTTTCTGAAGACAGGAGCTATATATCAACTTATTCTATTTTAATAGAATGTTCAGTATCTCTGTTCAGTATCTAGTAACAGAGATTCTCTAGCTTATTTTGCCACATTTAAATAAAAAAAATAAACAAAAAGTCCTGTTTGATCACTTGAAAAATATTTACTGAAATGTGAATAAATTTATAATCATTAAATAGTTGCCTATTGAAATATCCCTGAATATTGCTCACCTTATTGACAAGTATATATGAAGACTGAAAACATGTAGCTCATGCAAACAGTGTAAATGTAACTAAATACACCAAAGAAACAAAAAGCCATACTAAAAGTGTCCACAGTAACATGGAAAACATTAAAAAGTTTATCTAGATATTATAAAAACAAAGACAGGAAAACATTGTAAAAAATAATTATAGAAAGAAAAGGGGGGAGATGGTAAAGAAGCAAATCTGCACATGTACCCCAGAACTTAAATTGTGTATATATATATATATATATATATATATGAAGAAGCAGGAAATTGGGATGGGAAAATTAATTTGATCTAAATTCCCATATACTCTTGTAAAATCAAAAATTCATTTTGCATTATTAATTTTGCTCTTAGAGACTTTTAAAATGACAATTCTCAGTGCTACAGCAATTCTTTTATGATTGGCGCGGAAATGAATTAAAGAGAAGAAAAATCAGTAGGAGAGAGAAGACTAAAATAAACAGGATTGTAGCACCCTGTAAAGAGCTGAAATCTCCAGTGCACAAATAACTGATAGAAAAGAAGAGAAAATCAGAACTAAAAAAAATTGCATAAGCTCAGAAAATTATTCATTTTTAATTGTACCAACAAAGATAATTTATGATTTTGATTATGTAAGCATTATAATTACTGATAATTGGGCCTGCCATGAGATCATGCATATGGTTGTGCAGAAATCAAAATCTTAAAGACAGATGGGTAAACTCGAGTTTTTATATATCATATTTGTCTTTCTTTTTTTTTTTTTTGAGACTGAGTCTCACTCTGTCACCCAGCCTGGAGTGTAGTGGCACAATCTCAGCTCACCGCAAAGTCTGTCTCCCGGTTCAAGCAATCTCCTGCTTCAGCCTCCTAAGTAGCTGGGACTACAGGCGCATGCTACAATGCCTGGCTAATTTTTGTATTTTTAGTAGAGACAGGGTCTCACCATGTGGGCCAGGATGGTCTCAATCTCCTCACCTCGTGATCCACCCACCTTGAACTCCCAAAGTGCTGGGATTAAAGACCTGAGCCATGGTGCCTGGCCTGTAATATTAGTCTTTATTCTCAATACTTTTGATGCTGATTGGTGCTCTGAATGGTTATTGTTAAAAATCTTGTTGCTATGATGTATCAGTGATGTCCCTGCATTGATATAGAATAATACATAATGGTGCAATGCTGCGATGGTGCAATGCTTTGTTACTCAATGTTGTCAGGCACTTTGAGAAAATTAAAAACATTCAGGATAGTGCCAAAAAGATTAGTTTTTCAAAACTCTAAAATCACATTCATTTAAATGTGTATATAATTATAAACATGGGCATCATGGTTGACTATGAAGAATGCAGTGCCTTGCAAGTGCGCTATTTGAATAGAGGTAAGGAGAACTACATTCTAATTAGGGACTTGAAAAGTCTAGGTGGAGAAGACAAAAGCAATGATTCTTGTTTATGGAACAAATAGACAAAGAGGAGAATGGCAACACAGATGTTCAGAGAAACTTGAAATGTAAGTTAGAATGTAGTATAAGTTGTATTAAATGATGAAAATTAATATGTAACAATATAGATAAACCAAATCATTTGTATCTTATAATCTGTTTTTGGTAGCTAGGGATAATATTATAAATGGAATAATCACTAAAATTCTAAATATAATGTTCTCTAGTAAGTACATATTACTTTATTTATTTATTTTTAAATAGAGACAGAGTCTCATTCTGTTGCCTAGGCTGGAGTGCAAGTGGGGCCATTACAGCTCACCGAAGCCTCAACTTCCTGGGCTCAAACGACCCTCTCACCTCAGCCTCCCAAGAAGCTAAAACTACAGATGCACACCGCCATATCCAGCTAATTATTTTACTTTTTGGGTCATGATATGTAGCAACCAATCTGGGAATTATTTATTCATCAAAGATAACATTTTCCTCCTAAATCCAACCTCAGAAAAAATGTATTATGCCTGAGTCAAATATGTTATTTTTATGAGAAAAAGAGTCATATTAAAGCAATCATGTCTATACATAATCAATCATTATTTGAGATAATTTGCATTGGGGAGAAAAGCAGGCAATTAGAAATTACATATTCAGGTTCTAGTAAATGCAATTCTCTAGTAAACAATGAATAAATCATAATACAAATTACAGTTAAACCTAATTGCTTTACTGTATAAGATGTACTTTTTTTGTACCTATATTTTATTTACCTTTACTTCTCTGGCCTCTATCAGGAGACAGCATGGTAGTGAACACTCTAGGGGTTCTTTCTGGTTTTAGGTAAACCTGAGTTTTAATTTTGGTTTATATTACCTTTTAACTTCTGGTAGTTTGGTGAGCTTCTGTGTTTTCAGTTTTCATTCATCTGTCATATCAAGCTAGTAATAATTCTGCCATGATTTGGCTTAAATATTGAAAGGCATCACATAAATGAAATGCATAACACATAAATATTAGTTTATTTTCCAATATGTATCCTATCTCCCTATTAAATTGAGCCTAAAATGATTTTTTATTTTGTTTTATTAAGAGTGTTCAATATTCTATATATGAAAGGGATTTTTAAAGGTGTTTTGAGTGAAAAATAAGTTTCAACTAACTAATCAAGAATATCTTTTCATATTTATGTCAACTACATAAAAACTTACATTTATGACATCCTTTAGTCTTCTTTTCTACATTTTTGATTGTCATGTTGTACAGCGAGAAAAGAATAAGTACAAAAGATCTAGATTTTTGAAGTGCACATTCAAATATAACAAATTTAATTATTTTACTTATTCCTTAGTATTAGGCTGAGGCCAATGAGTCCATGAGCTAAGGTGTTGGAACTTGGTACCAAAAAAGTGATATTTATGAGTCATGTAGGTTTATATTGAGAAAACATCATGTCTTCCAATGTGAAATACACTAAAACCTGATCTGTTGTCTCTGAAGGTGTGCTAGGTAAACTCAAAAAGGATCAGGAAAGGAGGTGAGAGTAGGTCAGAAAAAAAGCAAATCCAATGTTCTCTTCATAAATTAGTGATGGCATATTTAAGGTTAAGTAATGAAAAATATGGGGTGCTCAGTTAACACGAATGAAAGAATGCTGAAAAGTTGCCATAAATAATTTGGATACCTTGATTAATGATACCCATCCTTTTGTACAATTTCATAATGGGGGAATAGAGATTAGTGAGGATTTTAGTGGTATACTCTGACTTTGCTTCATGATATCTCAAACATTGAAAACCTGTTTTTCTCTAGGGGAAGAAATACTTTCAGCACTAATTGTGGCAGACACAGAAGCCAAATGTATCTCCTCCTCTATTTACGTGTCTATATAATAACGAAAATCCTAGGTTGATACTCTTTTCTCAATCTTGCAAAGATTTTCCTAAAGCAACAAATCTAACAAGTTCAAGAGGATGGAGAGAGTGAACAAGTAAAATAATCTATATTACCCTGGAACAATTCTGAATCCTGTAGGTATTTATGTCACTGTTTCAGTGTGTTCTGGTTTAACTGTCGATATTTAAGCATGGGAGTTAACGTGTGCATATTTGTAACTCTCTGCAGTGCTACTGCCAGGTGGGATTGTACAGATCATATCATGTGCTTTGAATGTGCAATTTTACCTTCTTTTCTAACAATTTAATACAATAAGTGTTAGAAATAAATAACTAATGAAGACAATCAAAGAGCAGCCACACAAATGTGAATTGGTTTTCATGTGACAAGAAAATCATCAGTAAGCAAACAAACCTCCTTCCTGGAGAAGGCCACTGAAATGCATCCAGCAGGACGTCTCTACTAGAAGGTAATAAAAAAGAATATAATATAGCCTTTGACTTAAAACCCCATGAATATTACTTTGCCATTTATTTCCCCTGGGGATCTGATATTCATATTAGTTTAATGTATCTTTTCAGAATACTCTTTGAAAAGTAGAATTTTTTTTTTTTTGGAAATTTATGATTGGAGAATTACTACAGAATTTAGAGGTTACATTTCTTGACAAATCAGAGCTGAATAAAAAAGAACTAAAAATATAAACAAAGGTAATTAAAGAATCATGATAGGGTGAAACTAAACTAAAAACCGCCATAAAGTCCCACATTTTTCCTAATTTATTTACCTATGATCTTGGCACATTTTGTTTTACTTAACATTTGAAAAATACAAATATCTCTTCATATGCAAAAGAGTAAATGTTAAATGAAAAACTGAATTTTATATAGCTCCCTAAATATGAGCCACATGCTTAAGCAGTGAATAAACTTTATGAATCAAATCTTTGACATTAACTACTACAAAAGGCTGGTATCCAGGTGCAATCTCACAGGAAAAAAATTGCACCTGCCTTTATTACAATAAAAAAAAAGAATGGCAAATTCCCTTTAACATCTTAAGGGTGACATTGCTTTAATAGTCAAGCACTAAATACTTTTTTAAATTAGTCATAATGTTAAACTTCAGATTTATAAATGTAAATATTGTATTTATAGCTTTAGTCATAATGTATAATTTCTTTCTTGTTTAAATGTACTTTCTCATTCAAAATTGTATTTATAGTTTGGAAAGAATATGCCTCTTTATTCAGGAGTGATTCAGATTCCCAGATGTTTTCACATAGTTATGAAAGTGGGAAAGTGCTGAATTAACCTGGGCTGCACTATTTCAAGCTTTTTGCTATCAGGTTATAAACTATACCTACAATTCCAAGTCACGAAGTGCCTCTATTTCTAGAAGATAAGTTTCCCGGCTTTGTTATGTCCAAAGGCAGCAGGAAGTCTCATCAGTAGAGGGCGGAATTTTCAAGTACTGCCATTCTTATCCTAGGAGGCATCTCCAGTGGTTGAGCACAAGGCCCGCTTGGGGTTTGCTTTTGCTCTAGCATTTTGTGGAAGGGAGGGAGCTGAGAGAGCTTAGAGGATTCACTAAAACCACTTCTCAGTCTTAGTTGTAGTCGGATGGAGTACTCATAACAGTAACCTCCGATCACCACTATGTGTTGGGAAAAATTAGAATTCAGTCTACTTAGAATCTTGCCAGCTAGGATTTTACTTTGATATTTCAATATAACAGCGAATGTGGATGGAGTCCTGGTTAAAAGAAAATACCTGATTATTACTTTCTGGATTACGAACTAAAATCCTTGTAAAATCAGTGAATGTAGCTCATTGTTAAGAGTCATCATACTTTTACATATCAGGTAAGAATTCTGAAAATTATTTGAGTGTTCTATTCTCTAGCACCAGGTACTAATGTCCCCTACTCAGAAAAGCTCATCTGCATGGATGAAGTCTAGCAGTGCTCAGATATAATGGTTTAACATTGATTTTCTTTTTTTTGTCAAACATATATGTAAATATTTTTATAGCAGTCAGATGTATTTTTGAATAAGGATCACCCTCATTTTTACCCATGTGTTTATCTTTAAAACCAACATTGTAAAGTAGCATGCAGATATGTTTCTTTTGTCTTCATGGATTTTTTTTTTTTACTTTAAAAATAAATTATCATGATTTTTTTAAATTTGTTTTTTATTCTCCAGATATTTTGTGTACACGTGGGTAACCATGTGGGATTATGTGTGTTGGTGTGTAGGAAGAGGTAATTAATTTCTCTCAATTCTATCTCATACTTTAATATCAAATAAAAAAATGAAATGTATAAAGGATCACTTTGTAGGATTAGACATCCTCCTTCTAACTACTTAACTCAGGGGTTTGGGATTCAGAGCTCTTCATGTAACCAAGACCGAAAGTCATTGGAAGACTTTAAAATTAGTATTTTAACGACCACACCCAGAGTCAGGTATGGAAATAAACCTATAGCATGGATTCTTTCTATGCATAATCTCAAAATTTAACTACTCAAATAAGTTTTTAAAAACTAATTTAAAATTTGCCATTGAGGAGAATATCATCTCCATCCTTAATTGTGACTCTTCATTTCAGCTAAAAAACTTTTCCTATACTTTAAAAACAAAATGAAAAACAAATTCCTAGGGAAAGTCATAAACACTGAAATCAGAGATGTGATTCTTGTTAAATATTAGTTTCTCTTTCTGAGGTTATACTCTGTGCATTTGAAACTTTGACGTGAACATCATCTTCTGGATGTTTAGGTTTGCTCAAGGGTTCAGATTCTCTGGTCGTCTTTCTTGCATTTTCCTCCTTCCTTTCCTTTGCAAGCAATCTATAGTTGATAGCATTGCCAATGAGCAGCCACACGCTTGCTGCTACCACAATAGCCCCACAGGAAATGTACATGTACTTATATTCACCAGTTACATCCACCAACATACCTAAGAGACAAAGAACATCTTTTAAGTTGGCATAATAAAACAGTCATGTAATGATAAAAATTCCAAATAAATTATTCCTCAAAGTATATTCCTCTTATTTAAATTAATGGCAAATAAGACTCTAAAAAATAAAAAAAAATTCTAGATTATGACTTCTATATTTGCTTAGTAAAGGTATGTAGATGCACTTATAGCATTATAATACCAGTACATTAAATTTACTAAAAATTATTTCTCCCAGTAAAAATATACAAATAAGACAAATTAGGTATATATGTTTTTGTGTGTGTATACGTTGACACATATATGAGTGAGGTATATTTTTATATCTCTACATATATAGATTATATTTATTTACAGCATACATGTTAGGATCGCTTCATCCTTTTCATACTTCCTTTTTCCTTCAATAGAGAAAAATTACTTTCTTTAGGAAAGATCCAAAGACTTTTACGTGATTCCTAACAGGGTCTAATATTTACTAAGTGCTTCCTCTATGCCCAGCGCTAGCCTAAGCGTTTCATCTGTAATAGCTCACTTGATCCTTACAAGGTGTATTGTGAAGTAATTTGGGCCTGGTTACATAACTAGTTAATGGTAGAATCTAGACTCCTAATGAGGTCTGTCTGGACTCATTCTTAACTACTCTGCAAAATGGCTTCACCTAACCTCTTGTTTAAGTGCCATGTCACTATGAACTAATCCCAGTTTTTTACTTTATCTGAGTCTAAATTATCAAGGGCAAACTCATCAGTAAGACTGTTCCAGAAAACCAAACACTGCATGTTCTCACTCATAAGTGGGTGTTGAACAATGAGAACACATGGACACAGGAAGGGGCTTTGGGGGTAGGGGGATAGGGGAGGAATAGCGGGGAGTAGGGGGATTGGGGAGGGATAGTATTAGGAGAAATGTCTGATGTAGATGATGGGGCGATGGATGCAGCAAACCACCACCATGGCACGTGTATGCCTATGTAAAAAACTTGCATGATCTGCACATGTACCCCAGAGCTTAAAGTATAATAAATAAATCAAAAAACAAGCAAACAAACAAAACAAACTAACCGTTTGTTCCATTTGTTAATCAAGACCATTTAAAATCTAGCCTGGTGCCATTTAATCTGAAGGTTTACTGACTTTTAAAATTTTGTCAGCTTATATTTAGTTTTGTCTGTTGCTCATGCAGATATCTAATTCTTAATAATTATTAATAGTAAAATGTAATATGTACAAATCTATATAAATTATTATATGCATTCCAAGTGATTCTGATGTACACCTTTCAAACCAGTATATTTAGTCAGAATGCAGAGCATTCTCCCTAGAATCTAGTGGTGGCTCAGTATTAACTTTAGCTACTTGTAATATATTATATATTTGAACAAAATTTTCAGTTTTAATCAGGTAGATGGTAGAATGGGTTTATTTAAGAAAGAATGACATATTCGTTAACATAACAAAAATTATGTAATTTTAGTTTTCCTTCCTGAGTCAGATATTTCTATTTCTGCAATGATTGTTATACTTCTTTGTGTGTATGTGTGCATGTGTGTGTACTTTCATCATGCAAATATTGCAAGACCTAACAGAGAGAGCCATTAGTTACTTGAGGCAATTTGCCAGCCTACTGTACACCATAAGGTCAGATCTTAATGGTGACTTCTTGTCATTTGAGACCATTTGAACAACATATCAAAGGAAGAGAATCTCAAATAAGTTGTCTAAATTTAGTAAAGAAACCTCTTCTCCCTGGTAGTTTTGCTTTGTATTTCTTCTGGAACACCATAGGTATAAGAAAGACCACTAAAAATTTCAAGTCTGATACTTCACTTGTTTTTTTTCATTTGATAAATGATTTTTATTTTTATTTATTTATTTTTATTTTACTTTAAGTTCTGGGGTACATGTGCAGATCTTGCAGGATTGTTACATAGGAATACACATGCGATAGTTTGCTGCCTCCATGCTCCATCACCTACATTAGGTATCTCCCCTAATGTTATCCCTCCCCAGTCTCTCCACCCCCTGCTATCTCTCCCCTAGCCCCCAACTCCCCAACAGACCCCAGTGTGTGATGTTCCTCTCCCTGGGTCCATGTGTTCTTATTGTTCAACACCCACTTATGAGAGAGAATATGAGGTGTTCGATTTTCTGTTCTTGTGTCAGTTTGCTGAGAATGATGGTTTCCAGATTCATCCATGTCCCTGCAAAGGACATGAATTCATCCTTTTTTATGGCTGCATAGTATTCCATGGTGTATATGTGCCACATTTTCTTTATCCAGTCTATCTTTGATGAGCATTTGGGTTGGCTCCACATCTTTGCTATTGTAAACAGTGCCACAATGAACTTACATGTGCATGTATCTTTATAATAGATTGATTTATAATCCTTTGGGTATATACCCAGTAATGGGATTGCCGGGTCAAATGGTATTTCTAAGTCCTTGAGGAACTGCCATACTGTCTTCCACAGTGGCTGAACTAATTTACACTCCCACCAACAGTGTAAATAAGTTCCTGTTTCTCCAGCATTTGTTGTCTCCAGACTTTTTAATGATCACCATTCTAAGTGGCGTGAGATGGTATATCAATGTGGTCTGGATTTGCATTTCTCTAATGAACCGGTGATGATGAGCATTTTTTCATATGTTTGTTGCCCTCATAAATGTCTACTTTTCATTGAAAAGTGTATGTTTGCTGGGCGCGGTGGCTCACGCCTGTAATCCCAGCACTTTGGGAGGCCGAGGCGGGTGGATCACGAGGTCAAGAGATTGAGACCATCCTGGTCAACATGGTGAAACCCCGTCTCTACTAAAAATACAAAAAATTAGCTGGGTATGGTGGTGCATGCCTGTAATCCCAGCTACTCAGGAGGCTGAGGCAGGAGAATTGCCTGAACCCAGGAGGTGGAGGTTGCGGTGAGCCGAGATCATGCCATTGCACTCCAGCATGGGTAACAAGAGTGAAACTCCATCTCAAAAAAAAAAAAGAAAGAAAGAAAGAAAAATGTATGTTCATATCTTTCACCCACTTTTTGATGGGATTTTTTTTTCTTATAAATTTGTTTTAGTTATTTGTAGATTCTGGATATCGGTCCTTTGTCAGATGGGTAACCGCAAAAATTTTTTCCCATTCTGTTGGTTGCTGGTTCACTCTAATAGTAATAGTTTCTGTTGCTGTGTGAAGCTCTTTAGTTTAATTAGATCCCATTTGTCTATTTTGGCTTTTGTTGTCATTGCTTTTGCTGTTTTAGTCATGAAGTCCTTGCCTATTCCTATGTCCTGAATGGCATCGCCTAGGTTTTCTTCCAGGGTCTTTATGGTGTTAGGTCTTATGTTTAAATCTTTAATCCATCTCGATTGTTATACTTCTAAATATAAAAGCATTAGGTCTACGGCCCATCAGAGTTAATATCACTTCGGGCTGCCACATCAGCATACTTTCTAAATAATTTAAGAATTTTTTAGCATCAACAAGAAATCAGAGTTCTTTTCCTGAACTAAAGCTTCAATTCTTTCTGAGAGGAGCAGTGAAAGTTCAGTCTGAAAAAAACAAATACAAAATAGAAACCACACACTCCCTGCTTTTCAAAGCTGTCCTGCAACTGTGTAAGAAGTTACAGCAATAACATTCAATCATTCAAAAATATCAACTTGGTACCTACTATGGGCCAGACAGTTTTAGCAATAATCAAATGCTATAGAGGAAAAGCCAATCTAAAAGTCAAGAAGCGTTAGGCGTAGCAGGTGGCAGACATGGAATGAAAAAATGGATATATAATGGCTTCAGTCTGACAGTTTCAACAACAGGTCTAAAATCAATTACTGCCATTTACTACCAGTGGCACAAGGCTTGGCAATGTTAACACAATAGGCATGAAAAAATATTGAAACTTAAAAAAAATATTAATGCACATGTCTGCTCAGGTGGGAGTGGCCAAATAAGATTCCTTTATTTCAATTCTTAGAATCTATCCCCACTATGTATTTGGACTTGATTCTGTTTTCATCCCATCATGCATGGTGACATACAAACTTCTCTGCTGACACTACAAATTGTGTGGATAATGAATAGGTTCCAAAAACTCATTTGATCAAACTAGTTCTGTATGAAAAGAAGAACCAATTGTGCTTATCTTATGTAACAAAATCAACTGGCTGATAAACAATTAGACGTACTGGCTTTCAGTCTTTTTTGACAATTGTTTTGATGTCATGGTATATTTATATTGAGAGACATATCATCTAAAACGCCTGTGCTAGATACCACAGGACAGCCCTGGTGGACAGGGAAAGACAACAAATACACCACCTAGGTCTTAGAGCCAACTTTGTTGTGCACCTAAGTGAAAAAAAATTCAGAGATAAAAGGTCAATGATAGCATTAAGATGAACAAATTAAACATTAAACATGAATTTTCACACTTTTGGAATGGTTCCTTGATGTCATGCAGAAAACAGATTAAAAACTGACTAAATACATGGAAAAATTTACATTTAGCCTAGCAGTAACTCTGACCATGAGAGACTAGGCCAAGAGTCTAAGTGAATACTTAAGTCCGGTATTAACCAAAACAATATACACTTGTTGCTGGCAAAGACTAGTCTACAAACAGAATATAGTATTTATAACATTTAAGGTCTAAGACTAAACAAAATTTTAGCTTAAAAATGCTCTTACGCATGTCTTTAAACCATAGTTCAGATACGAGAATTTACTTCTAAAAGCATTCGCCACTGTAACACAGAAGGAAATGATAAAAGAACTGCAAGAAACTCCAACCAAAATCTAATGCTCTGTGATGACTATTTTATCTCTCTCTCGCCCTTTTTTAAATATCATACCAACTTCTCAATTTGTGAGGGTGTTCTTTGGTCATGCCCTAAATGTGTACTGTGTCTTTTTACTGAATAATTTAGCATAGACACTTTTATAGGCATCTTTGAAAATATTTCAGATCTTAAAATCTGAAGGTAATCTTTTCAATTTATAAATATGGAACATAAGTATATCTGGCCCCCAAAAAACTGTGAATCGATTTTTGTTCACCCCTGTCTTTCTCTATATGGCATATATATGTCAATATATTCATATCAGTGATATTATGAATGTATTTCCTCATGTAACAAGTTCCAACTTAATATATTCAATGAACTCAATTAAAAAATAGATTCTGACCTTTTTAGGGACTATTTTACATTTTTGACACATTTCCATGTCAAAAGATGAAAGATCTGTTCACCAATGATAAAGATAAAATAGCGTTTTTTTCTGTTATATTTTTAAGAGACCCAAACAACTAAAGTAGATAAATATTTTGAAGATTACTCTACTAATTGTCAGTTTAAAATAAGTTCTAAGTTCATCGGTCCAGGCTTTGAAACAAATTTAGGTCTAAAATCGACTAATTATGAAATTTTAAAGTTTATAATAAAACCTAAAATTAACATGTCCATATTTCTTCAGGCTATTAGTATTATTATAAAACACATTTAAATAGCTGTACATAGAGTCTCAGTTAATGGATATTAATGTTATGCTTTATATTTTCCTTGATGAAAAACGTTCTTACCGGCAAGAGGAGGGCCAAGAAGAACTGGGCCACACTCCACAATTGTGACAAGTCCCACAGCACTGGAAAATCTTGGTGCACCCACGAGGTCCATGAGAGTTTCAAAGAGGACACTGCTAACACTCCCAAATCCAAGGCCAAAAAATACAGCATATAATATCAGGCTTGTGTAGTCCTGTGCCAGCGGGCACAAGAGATGACACACTCCATTGAACATGATTGCAAAACTGAAGAAGTACTGAATTCGAGGTCGAATATATTTGGAGTTTGCAATTAATCCTACAGAAGGCCTAGCAAACATATCAACAAAAGCCATAATAGAGAGCAGAAAAGCTGCAGAATACTCATCGATTCCCTGGTCTTTAGCATATGGAGCCAAGAATATAATGGGGGCAAAAAAACCTAGGAACATAATGACATTTCCAGACAGATATATCAGAAATCCTCTATGCTTAAAAAGGGAGAAATCTAAATACTTATTAACTTTTTCCCAAGTTGATTTCTGTGTTTTGATTTTCTTCAGGCCTGAATCATCTTCTCTTATGCCAGTGTTATTTTTAGACTTAGAAGTGGTTTGACTGGGTCCAAGGGGTCTCATGAGAGACCCAGCCACACAGGCATTCAAAAGTAGACCTCCCAAAATCAAGAAGCTTCCCTTCCAGCCAAAAGTATTAAAAAGGTACTGATTGAAAGGAGCCAATGAACTTAAGAAAACAGGACTTCCTGCCATGGCCAGTCCATTTGCCATGGGTCGTTTCCTATAGAAGTATTTGCCAATTATTGTTAAGGCCGGTTGCAGGTTGAAGGCTAAACCTAAACCTAAAAAAAAAAAAAAAAAAAAAGTGAGAGGAAACACAAACACATTATGACACTCACAAAATAAATTACTCCAGGCAGAATTAAAAATGGAATATCAGATTGTACATTTTGATTACAATAAATGTAATTGCACAAAAACAAAAAAGTTTTTATAACTGAACATTTGAAATGACACTTTCATATTCCTTTAATTTTAAAGCACAGAAATGAAGCTAAGAAATTCTACTGATAGATCAACAATCATACAATAGATTGAAACCAGGACAAAATTATTAGTTCTCAATTAAAATCATTTAATTCCACAGATCCTTTCCTTTTAACACATGCTTATACACACAAATATGGAACAGATTTCTTCCTTGTGAGTAAGAGGGCAATATAAAAAGGTGAATATTTTTCTTTTAGAGTTAAAGAAGTATAAACAGACTAAAAAGGTAACAATTTGTAACAATCTTATGTCTCCCCACAAACATTTATTTCAATATTATGTAAATAACAAAAAGAATAATGAATGTATGCCATTAATTTCATGCTCTACATCCCTCACATTCCACATTTAATGTATATAGATGAACATGCCTATTAAGTAAAAAGGATTTTTTGTTTGAAACATAGTTTCAATTCAGGGATTAACACTGATTGTTTATATGAGCCAAAGGCCCCATTATCTAGGGAGCTCCTTGGCAGTGTTGCGTATCACCTTTGGAAAATGAATTACCTGTTCTAGCTCACCAAGGTGCTACTGAGCGATTGTAATAAATAAGGTCCTTTAAACAGTACATTGATTTACATAAAATTTGATTTATATAAAATATCTCCTATTTCCCCTTAAACTAGGCATTACTCTATATTTATTTTAGGGACTAGAGAGTTAAGAGTTCTTCTATATTTACTGATTTATCTAAATTGAAACAGTTCTGCAAAGTGGTTAAGTATTCTAGTTGTGGAATACACAGGGCTGTGTACAAATACTCCAACCCTTTAATATAAACATTTTCTATAAAAAAGAGGACCCCTAAAAGCTGACAGGAAAGAACATGAACATACTTTGGAGGGTAACAGGACACATGTTCTCTAACTCTACTTCAGCCATATCTGTGAGATATGCAGAATAAGTGTAATTAAATCCAATTTATAAATAACAAAACTGACCAGCCTATGGTCAAGTAGCTTGTAAGTGGAAGAACACAAATTAAAATCCAGGTGTTAGGTTTCAAAGCTTAAGGACTTTTATGTTATTGCATTTTCCCCATTCTGTCGCCTGGAACTTTTGCCTTCAAATGTTAATCCACATTTTGATTTGGAAATAGTTGCCGTCTCTTTCTCATTCTGGCATGGTAAAATGAATGTAGGCTTGAAATCAATAGATATGATCTGCTCCAAATAAGTACCTATTTTGTATTACTGGGCAAAACACTTAGACTTCCTGAACTCTAATTTACCTAACAAAACAGACAGATTTTGCCAAAAAAAGTAAGTTCTAGAACTGTAAGGTGTTATATAAATGGCATTGTGATTACTATTATTTGCAAACATTTATTTATGAACAGTAAAATTCTGGGCACTCTGTAAAGTACTATATATTCATTTTTTACATTAATCATCCTAATAACTCATTTTAAAAAGAGCTATTATTTATCTCATTTTACAGACAAAGAAACTTAGGTATAAGGAGTTTAACGTACCCATGATTACACAGATAATATGTGCCAAGGCAAGTTTAAATGCTAGATCTGTCTACTTTTGGAAACCAAAGTCAAAGTATTTTCTGATTTAAAGTAAATCCCTCATAGATAGACTTAATAATTGACTTTGGGGGCATCAAAATATTTAAGAGCCAAAGGAATAAAATTATAAGTTAGAATAGCAATAATGCCAGTGATATTTGTAGTGCAGGGAATAACAAAATCATCTTTTCCCTAATCATCTATTTGTAGGCCCATTCCGACTTATACAGTCAAATGTAGTAGTCAGTATCTCCATACAAAGGAAAAGGCACTCTCTCCACTATGACAATGCTTGGTATGAGAGGGTTTTCATTTACAAGATTAAATGTATTTTGCCATATCAAAAAAGGAGAGAGATGTGGATAGATTGTAAAGAGAAAAATTTTAACATCACTATTACTGTAAGCTTCAATACATTTTTTTTCATCAAATGATACATGAGTGTAAGATTACAGGAGTATAAATATTTTTGCCTTTTTATCTCTGGGCAGAAAGGCAAGATTCAGTCTCTTTACATATTGAAGTTTAATTTTTCCTAAGATGTTGAATATAAATTTTTAATGCAATTTATTATTTAAACTAATAAAAATAGTACTTTCCAAGTGTACATGTTATGGTCAGTTAGAATCAATAGATATGTACATGAGAAACAACTGTAATCAAGTGACAGTAGGTCATTTGAAATATTTGTGTTAGAGGAAAATAACACAAAAGCTTGGCTCACCAAGCTTTTAAACAGGATCATTTGAGTAAGAAAAAGAAGAAACAGGGTTAATGAACTTTACCACTAATCAGAACAAGCAAAAATAATTTTATTGTTGAAGCTAAATCAGTGCATCCAGAAAATATCTCGTTGGCCCTGTTTTAATATACTATGATTGGAAAGTCAGATATTGGAAATGGAAATAAGTCATGAAAATAAGTTTTATAGTAATGAAAGTATTTATTTATATCAAAAAGTCTGGGTCCGACAACATTATCTCCGTTGAGGAGTAAAAAGCATAAAAGGCCAAAAAGAAAAAAAAAAAACTAAAGTTGTTTTCTTTTTGAATTTGTATGATAACATGTAACTTGTCTGATAACATTTTTTTTCATTTTTTAAAAAAATGAAATGTTTGGCTATTATATAGCTTGAATTTCAATGTACTAGATGAAAATACTTTAAAACAGCATTGTTCATAAAAAAGTAAATTAAAAGAAAATGAGAATTTTCTGTTGGTCATTCTTTTCATAGGGCTTTGAAAATAGCAGAAGAGTTAAGAATAAGCTGAAGACCAAACAATTTACCTGTAATGAATCCCATAGTGATGTACAGCTGCACCACACTGCTACTGAAGGAGGCCAACACCATTCCAAGACAGCATAATAAGCCTCCTGCTATCACCACCGGGCGGCTGCCGTATTTATTCACCAAAACACTACTTATGGGGCCTACAGCAGAGAGGAGATTAAGAAATATTCAGTTACTGGGTCATTTATTTGTTCATCTTTAACATCCAATCATTTGGAAAGGTGAGGAAGTACATTTTAATGGTCAGAGGAGAAATATTAGTTCACATGAAATATAATGAGAACTTTTCAATACTTCACAAATGATCAGTTTGGCAGGTTCTTTTCAGTCATATGAAAGAAGCCCATGAAATAATAAATTAGAAATGTTTAACATATATTTATTTATAACCATAATCATTCAAATCTTGATGGAAAAGTTTTACAATAAAACATAGCTAAAATATCTAAAATATCTTAACAAATGCAGGTAAATTTATGTAACAAAAATCTATGATTACATAAATGACTGTTCTGTTAAAATTTTATTTTTGAGAATAATGCATCTTAGAATAATGTGCCATTTATTAGGGCTGAACATTTTTTAAAATTATCTTCAGCAGTGATTTTTCTTCAATACCATAATTTGTTGATTCTAAGACACCTATTGTTTTCACATCCTATCATATTAGCAATAGGGGTGTCTTACATATAATGACTTCTTCCAATCTATGTTCATCAAGAGGAAGTCATAGGTAGTAATGTTGTTATCATGGCCTATGCATGTCTGAATTTGGTTGTTATTTCCTGTGGCTTGATTGGACAATACTTAATCACATTTCAATAGAACCTTTGAGGAGCATTTGAAAAATGAATATAAATATGAATCCTGATTTTTGCCTGAGAAATCTTCTGTTGACAAATTCTAGTAAGGTAGAGTAAGTAGCAGCATCAAAACTTACAGATTGGGTGCAGCTGTTTGGATGAAATTACCAGAAAAAAAATGGTGGATCTCTCTGTTAATATACATTGCACACTGACAAAGAGAATAATCTTAGGTGTGAAACGCGAATGTTGAAAACTCAGACTCCAAAGTAGTTTAGAAGAGTCAGATAGTGAATGGGAAGAACATGTAGGAATACCTTACCAATTTTTTAATGTATATATCCAATGTACATCTGTGTGTGTATATATATATAAAATATCCAGAACTGATTAAAATTATTAAAATAATCTGCATTTAAGTGTAAAAAAGTTCTTTCGGTAGTTATAAAAGCTCTAAATGTTAAGAAAGTGTTGTTTTACTTCAGTGACAGCACTATTTTCTTTCCTGGTATACTATAAAATAACAGTGCAACTTAACAATTAAGACTCTTGGACTCAATGAAATTCCATAGCATTTTATGGGACTTGTCAATGCATAAATGACTTGCTTTGACAAATCATTCTTAACTTACAATTGTATTTCATCTGAAACTAGGAATACTATTTGGAGGACATAAATGCTATATTAGGTCAGAATTTTCAATTCAATATTTGGCCTACAAAACATAGTAATTTTTTAGCTAATACTATGGCACTAAGAATTTCCAAGAGTATTGTATTTAAGAATTTTTACATGGATCACATATAAAATAGATTGAGATTCATTTATCAATGCACCCATATCCTTTTACACAAATATAATTATTATTTTTAACCTGCAAACAAAATTTTGAAATTAAACCTTAGTGCCTAATAGTATTTATTACTCCATAATATCTTTTGAAAGAATATTGGTAATAACACAAAATTTTAGAAAGATAACTTAAACACAGAATACAAAAGCTTGCATTTATAACAGCAGCAACCTAAAACTTTGAAAAGGCGACATGAAAGCTTTTATGAAAGCTCCATAAAAACGACAGGATTTAGAGGGAAGAAATCAAAGAAAATTGTGCAAGTTGTATAAAAAGAATATAATTTTGTCTCTAACATGGTGAAGTTTACCTGCAGAGCTGAAGAAAATAAATTATACATGCAGAGAATATATATATAACACATATAAGACATATGTCAGAGACATTGCAGATGAGATTCCAGAGAAACTCGATGAAGCAAATATTGCAAAAAAATGAGTCACAAATTTTTTGGTTTCCCAGTGCATATAACAGTTATGTTCACCCTTTACACACTATAGTCTATTAAGTGTGCATAGAATTATATCTAAAAAGCAATGTGCATAACTTAATTAAAAATACTTTATTGCTAAAAAATGTTAATGATCATCTGAGCCTTCATTGATTCACAGTCTTTTTGTTTGTCTTGACTGTTGATGGCTGCTGACTGATCAGGGTGGTGGTTGCTAAAGGCTGGAGTAGCTGTGGCAATCTTTTTGTTGTTGTTGAGACAGGGTCTTGCTCTGTCACTCAGGCTGGAGTGCAGTGAATGCAGAGCGCCTCATACATAGCTCACTGAAGCCTTGACCCCCTAGGCTCAAGATCCTCCCAACTAAGCCTCCCTAGTAGCTGGAACCACAGGTGTGTGCCACCATGCCTGACTACTCTTTTATATATTTTTTTTTGGTAGAGATGGGGTATTGCTGTGTTGCACAGGCTGGTCTTGAATTCCTGGGTTCAAGAGATACTCTTACCTCAGCCTCCCCAAATGCTGGGATTATAGGTGTGAGCCATGGCACCGGGCTGGCAACTGCTTAAAATAAGACAAGTTTGCTGCATCAGTTGACTCTTCCTTTCATGCAAGATTTACTTGTAGCATGTGATGTCATTTGAAAGCATTTTACCCACAGTAGAACTTCTTTCAAAATTGGAGTCAATTCTCTCAAACCTTGCCACTGCTTTATCAACTAAGTTTATGCAATATTCTAAATCTCTTATAGTTATACCAACAATGTTTACAGCATTTTCATCAGGAGTAAATTATATTTCAAGAAACCACTTTCTTGGTTCATCCATAAGAAGCAACTCTTCCTTACTTCAAGTTTTATCATAAGATTGCAGCAATCTAGTCACCTCTTCAGTCTCCACTTCTAATTCTAGCTCTCGTGCTATTTCCACCACATCTGTAGTTACTTACTTCACTGAAGTCTTGAACCTCTTAACGCTATTCATGAGGGTTGAAATTAACTTCTTCCAAACTGTTAATGTTGGTATTTTGATCTCCACCCATAAATCATGAATGATCGTAATGTTATGTAGAATGGAAATCCTTTCCAAAAGGTTTTCCATCTCCTTTTCCCTAGATCCATCAGAGGAATCACTATGTATGGCAGCTGCGAGCTTACAAAATGTACTTAAATTTTAAGAATTGAAAGTTGAAATGACTCCTGGATCCATGAGCTGCAGAATGAATGTTGTATTAGCAGGCATAAAAACATTAACCTCATTATACATCTCTATCAGAGCTCTTGGGTGACACAGGTGCATTGTCAGTAAGCAGTGCTATTTTGAAAGGAATTTTTTTCTTAGCAGCAGGTCTCAACAGTGGGCTTAAAATATTCAGCAAACTATGCTGTAAACAATTGTACTATTATACAGGTTTTGCTATACCATTTATAAAACACAGGTAGAGCAGATTTGGCATAATTATTAAGGGTCCCAGAATTTTTAGAATAGTAAATGAGCTTTGCTTCAACTTAAAGTCACCAGCTTCACTGGCCCCTAAAAAGAGAGTCAGCTTATCCTTTGGAGATTTGAAGACAGGCATTGACTTCTGCTCTCCACCTATAAAATACCTAGATGGCATCTACTTCCAATAGAAGGCTATTCCATCAACACTGACAATGTGTTGTTTAGTGTAGGCACCTTCACCAATGATCTTAGCTAGATCTTCAGGATAGCCTACTGCAGTTCCTAATCAGCATTTGTTGCTTCACCTTTTACTTTTATGTTAGCAAGATGGCTTACTTCCTTAAACTTCATAAACCAACATTTACAAGCTTCAAGGTTTTCTTCTGTAGGTTCTTCACCTTCAATAGAATTGAAGACAGTTAGGGCCCTGCTCTGGATTAGGCTTTGGATTAGGGAATGTTGTGGCTGGCTGATCTTGTATTCAAACTTCTAAAATGCTCTTCACTTTTCCTTTGCATTCACAACTTGGCTAATTTTAGTGCGAGAGACCTAGCTTTCAGCCTTTCCGTGCTTTCAGCACCTTTCTCATTAAGCTGAATCATTTCTAGCTTTTGATTTAACATTAGGGACTTGTGACTCTTCCTTTCACTTGAACACTTAGAGGCCATTGTAGGTTTATTAAATGGCCTAATTTCAATATTGTTGTATCTCGGACAATAGAGAGACCCTAGGAGATGGGGAGAGAGAGCAAAACAGCTGGTCTAAGGAGCAGGGAGAACACACACAGCATTAAGCCCACCATCTTTTCTGAGACAGAGGCACAGTTCATGACACCCAAAACAATTATAATAGCAAGATCAAAGATAACCACAACAGATATAATAATAATAAAGTTTGGAATACTGTGAGAATTACCAAATGTGACACGAGATACAAAGTGAGCACATGCTATTGAGAAAAATGATGCCAACAGAGTTTCTGAAGGTAGGGTTGCCACAAACCTTCAATTTGTAATTAATGCAATATTTGCTAAGTGCTATAAAGTGAAGGGCAACAAGTGGAAGTATATATGTATTTTAGTTTCTCTATTTTTTACCTCTAAATGATAAAAAAGCAGTATAATTGTCATTTGTTAGTGTTGGCAAATATTTTTGATAAACTTCTCAGAAATACATAAGTTTATCGACTAGAAATAATATTTTTTGTAAATGAGATGGTTTCCAATTTTCTGCTTTTCACAATATTGAGGGAAGATTCAATTGAATTGTCAGCCCACAGATCATTTCAAATAATTGTTGATAATAAATCATTATGTGATTTTGCCAAGTTCAAATGATTGGCTAATACTGAAAATAAAATACTTTCCACTGTCATCCACTTTATCATGTGAACAAGTTACTCAACATGTACATCAATTAAAAACCAAGCAAAACCAAGAAAGAAATGAAACTAAAACCTGTATCTGCTCAGCTAGCACTAAGAAATATTCATCTATACCTACACAGGATGCCTGTTCAATTCATTAAAAGGCACATTTCCTTGGGAGGCTGAGGCAGAATTGCTTGAACCTGCTACGTGGAGGTTGCAGTGAGC